AGCAAGACCATAGATGAATTTGGTAAAATCATAGGAGGATTAGTAACGGAATTATCTATTGCTCAAGCCGACGATAATTAACAGGTGTTCGATGTGTTAAGATCGGCTAATGAAAAAATTACCATCAATATTTTTGCAAATGAGGTTCGAAACACAGAACTGAGATCTATTGTTAAGACTCTAAACTATTCCAAATTCTCAGACGCCAATAGGGGGGCGGTAGATGAACAACCTACAACATCGTTGTCTCAGCAAATTCTTAATATGGGTAATTTTAACAACAATCGGTCCCAGTCTTAACAAAATTTAAGTCGTAACTGTAATAGCAACAATTGTTTCAGCAGTAATCGAGGAGTACAAAACAATAATAATCGTAGAAATACGAGTAATTATTCAAGTAGAAATTACAATTATTATTATTATTATAGATATATAGTCGGTCAACAGGTTATTTACCCAATTACAGACCAACAATGGTAATTATAGAGGCAATAGAGGTGACCGTTTTAATTATGGGCGAAATAATGTGTCTAAACAATCAAATCGCGGCCATATAAGTAGTGTAACGAAGAGAATTTTCGCGAGCCAGAATCTGGGGCGCATACCAAGAGCCAGGGATAAATCCGCCGACGCGGCTGGAAAATGCGATTCCTTCTTGAAGTCTTCGCCTACGCCCCGTGCTGTGAATGTGGAAGAGATTCGAAGTTCTTTTTTTTGGGAAGTGTGACAGATTGTGCAGTCCGACCCTTCGACCTCCGTAAATACCGTTTTGGATGGTCTACCCGTTTTCGAATCGTACCGCCGTACCGCCCGCGCGCAATTTTCCGTTCCAGAGTCGCCGCCTCCAGGACCAGGAGGAGCCCGGCTCGAAGGTAGTCACCGTCCAGGAGGAACGACCGTGCCGGACGTTTGATTCTTTTTTTTTAATTTTATAAAACCGGTTTGTAATTCTTTAAAATTATTTTAGCGATAAGATTATCAATGCCGTGCACCTGGTGGCAGGGAATAAAAACCCGATTGTTTAAAACTTTCCTCCGTTTTATTTCTTGTTTCTGCAGGCGCGCACCAGACCACCTGGAGATCCGTGTCTCCGGCTTTAGTGACACCCCCGGTGGCGTGAAGGTGACCCCATAACCGTAGGTTGGCCAGACGTGTTTCATTTTTCAGCGGCACTAGTCGGGCTTCGCACCGTGGCACCCCACCCCCTCGCCATATCGGCGAAATTCCGGATCGTCACCGTCCGCCAGTGTTTCGTCGCAGTAGCAACAATCAGCCCCGGAGATATGATAACAGACACTGCGTATATGTAGCCGAGAACGAGGCACACTAAACTGCAGAGGGTGAAAATAGTTTTTTTGTGCCAACTAAAGTAAATAATAAAAATTAGAGTTTTGTGTTTAACTTATTTTGATTTAAATTTGCATTAAAAGGAGAGTAATATACATGACATATTCGCAAACTGTCAAGAAAACTTTAAAAAAACAATATTACTTTAAGGCAATAATTTAAATCCAGCCGACCCTGCTAATACGTGTTTTGCTGCTTAATAAATTTGGAGGCAACAGATTAAAACAGTCGTTCTTGGATTCAAACTGACACCGCGTGAGTTCTGCCAACCATTGCATTTAAATTTCCTCTGTATTTTGCCGCTGTTGCCATATCCTCACTCGAACAGAGGACTTCTTATGCGCATCGAGTTGCTATTCGCATTGAATTTCGTTCAAGAAGACGGATTTTCGTTTCGAATAGCATCTTGGCATACGCATCTATTCGTACTCACATTTTTGCGAACGAGTTCGAGAATCGACCCCTGGTGAATAATGAGGATTTACAACGCTTGTATGCCGCATTCCTTTCATGTAATTATAAAAAAGATTTAGACGAAGGCACGTGTGTTAGCTATAGAGATTTTTGTAACCGATATTTAATTGTTACTTTTGATGTAACAAAAGAAAATGATGAAAATTTATTTAGTTAAACAAAATCTTCTGAACTAGAAGTTAACTGGACATTAAAAGATTATCAAAATGTTAATTACTATATATATGCTGTAGTTGAATCTCAAAGAATTGCAAATATGAATATCATAGATGAAAAGATTTACTTGGAAATGAAGTAGGGAGAAAAATGCAAGCTAGTACATCTAACCAAGCGGAAAATGAGATAACAGAGATTGCTAGGAGTGTTAAAGAGTCTTTACTACCATCAAAATCAAGACATTTATACGAAGAAACTTACAACCTTTGTCGGAAGTGGTGCTCTAACAAGAATGTCAAATCAACGTCGGAAGAGAGTATTTTGGCATATTTCACTACAGAGCTTTTCTCGTATAAAAGTTCAACATTATGGAGCAAGTATTCCATGCTAAGATCAACCATAAATTTACGTGAAGAAGTTGACATCAGTAAATTCCCATGTGTCATTGGTCATTGCATTAAAGTAGTTAAAAATAAACAATAATTTTTTAAAATTTTTGTTTAATTCGGTTTAGCAAAATAGGGCATAATGAGAGGGCATAATAACTCTTTATGCCCGCTCATTGTGCCCCGGATGTAAGATGCTGCTTTACGTTTATCAAATCATGGATATAAAACAAACATTATATACGAGTGAAAAATAAAAGTCTTTTTTTATATATAAATGGATCATAAAAAAATTATAATAGGTGAGATAGATGAAAATGAAAATATAGATAGAACATATAAAATTCTTAACATAATACAAAGAGAGCGAAGTTCAGCTAGTATGAAATTATATTTAATCAAACTGAAAGATTTATATAATATAAACGGAGAAATAAAAGATGAAGGCGAGCATACAACTGTAAAATTTGTAATGTCATTTGTGAGATTTTCAGACAATGGAATATCTACAGTTTGTTGCAGATCAAATGACGAAGAAATTCTGTTTGATCTGACAGAAGGTGAAAGAACACGTGCATACATTCATAAAATTTGTTAAAATTGTTATTTTTGCTCTTTTACTTGAAATATTTAGTGTTTCGCATGTAAAAGACTATAAGGGCCGGTTTATCAATGCGCAGTTAAGTTAAAGTAACTGGCAGTTAAAGCTTGTCTGTGAGTTAACCTGTTTATCATTACCCGCTAGCTCAAAACTGGTGGTCAAAGTGCCTGATAAATTAACTCACAGTTCAAACTGTCAGTTAAAGCGTTATCCACCAGTTAGTGGCAACATAACCTAACAAATCCAAATAAATCTGTTATGAATTTAATAATATTTTGATGAGGACTTATGTTGTGCAACAAATTGACAGAGAAAAGATGAGAAAAACACTTATTATTAGCTGATTATTTTCCAGGTCTAATGTAGGTATCAAAAATTAAAAACCTATCTAATAATACCGCGAGATCGAAAAAGAAATTAATCGAAGTAGGCCATGCACGACAAGCCGTTTGTCGTAATCACGGTGGTAGGGTAATTTTTTTTTTTTTTTATTAAATGTCAAATTTACAGTTTAAAATTAGAATTATGACGCCTACTTTTAAAACACATAAGAATGAATTAAAATCACCGTTTTCCAATTTTGTCTAAAATTTATCCCATTTCTGAAGATTCTAATAACAAAAAAGCTTTAATTTCGTTTCATAACAGTGCAAATTACTTTTGTCAACGTGACGATTAATAAAAAATTATTTTAAAATAAGACAAACGCCTTTTCGTGCATGGCCAACTTTGACTAATTTCTTTTTCGATCTCTCTGTATTTATTTATAGGTGTACCTACTTGTTTCATTTTTAATTTCCAATACTTTTTTTCTAATGCTAAATTTTGCTTTTTCATGATTGATCACGTGAAACGCGATATACAATCGTTGAATACCGAATGCGGATCGAATCTGATGGAACTTTCAAGGTCGGGGTAGTTTTGAACTGACCAATCACAACTCATTTCCAGTGGTGTGAGCGTTACCAACTTAAGGGCCGGTTTATCAATGCTCAGTTAAAAGTGTCTGTTAAGTAACTGTCAGATAAGGGTAACTAGCAGTTAACGGAGGTAAAGTGTTTATCAATGCACGATGTTTCTTCCAGTTTCGTAGCTCGAAGTTTAGCTGTTACTCTCTTAAGTTGGTAACGCGCACCCCACTGGAAATGAGTTGTGATTGGTCAGTTCAAAACTACTCCGACCTTGAAAGTTCCGTCAGATTCGATCCGCATTCGGTATTCAACGATTGTATATCGCGTTTCACGTGATCAATCATGAAAAAGCAAAATTTAGCATTAGAAAAAAAGTATTGGAAATTAAAAATGAAACAAGTAGGTACACCTATAAATAAATACAGAGAGATCGAAAAAGAAATTAGTCAAAGTTGGACATGCACGAAAAGGCGTTTTTCTTAGTTTAAAATAATTTTTAATTAATCGTCACGTTGACAAAAGTAATTTGCACTGTTATCAAACGAAATTAAAGCTTTTTTGTTATTAGAATCTTCAGAAATGGGATAAATTTTAGACAAAATTGGAAAACGGTGATTTTAATTCATTCTTATGTGTTTTAAAAGTAGGCGTCATAATTCTAATCTCTAAACTGTCAATTTGACATTTAATAAAAAAATTAAATTACCCTACCACCGTGATTACGACAAATGGCTTGTCGTGCATGGCCTACTTCGATTAATTTCTTTTTCGATCTCGCGGTATTATTAGATAGGTTTTTAATTTTTGGTACCCACATTAAACCTGGAAAATAATCAGCTAATAATGAGTGTTTTTCTCATCTTTTCTCTGTCAGTTTGTTGCACAACATAAGTCCTCATCAAAATATTGTTAAATTCATAACAGATTTATTTGGATTTGTTAGGTTATGTTGCCACCACGGTTGTAGAATAGATAGGTTGATACACTAGCATGCATTTGCATATCCCTGGTCAGCGACGCCAAATGCCGATCGCGTCGCCTGGTTTATGACGTATTAGGGACACAGGACTGTATAGACATCTGTTCATAACTGATGTAATTAATAAAAGAAATAGTACTTATCGACTCAGAATAAGCGCACGTCACTAACAAATTTGACGTTTGTCGTATTAACTGTGTTATTAACCTTTCTCGCTGTTTCCCGCTTCCCGCTATTCGACAGCGTCCTAGGATTGTGTTAGCGTTTTTCGGGTGTTTATTAAAGTTTTTGTGCTTAATCATAGTTCAGATATCTGTTTCGTTGCCTTTGTTTATTATTTAGTGTATGTTTGTGTTATAAAATTAGTTTTAGCGTTAGTACCAGATTTCTGGATTAGTTATAGTTGGTGTTACTTGTTCGTGTTGTTTTGTGTGCCTGCTAACCGATTAACAATAATAATTATATTAATTTAGTGTTGTTTATGTACTCTTTTAATATTCGTGTTCTTTAAACAGAACTGTCAAGGTAATAAATGTTAATCAACTAAAGTGCTACGACTCTTATCTCAATTAGATGCATTATTTAGCATAAACATCTTATAAAGGTTCCATACTTTATTGTCATAAATAAAGCCTCGTGCCCAGTTCACGTTAACTTGGTTCGTTTAAAATCTATGAGAAATTATTGAACTTTTATAGTTACTATTTAAGATATTTATGATTTGCAATACTGTTTCATTTGATCTATATTTATTGCAAGCGTAGTACTTTTGTTATTTAATTAAATCACTGCAAACTGACCCCAGTTTACGTCTCTAAAATTTTATGTTTTTTACAGATGCCTAGAACATGTGCAGTGCCGGGTTGTAATTCCACTGTTAAATCAAAAGTGTCTTTCTTCAAACCTCCGAAGTCACTTGAAAGAAGGAAAGTTTGGGAAGAAGCTTTAGGATTTACTCTTGGAAATACAAAATTTATTTGTGAATTACATTTTAAACAGGAGGAGGTCATAAGGGTGAAACATTTTTACCGCGAAGATCAAAGCATTCTCGCGACGGTGTGTATTACTTTTGGAAAAAGAGATATAAATTTTGAAATTACGGTTCTGTTATACCGGGACATTTTTTTTAACTGAGCGTATCCCATGCTTAATTCCTATGTTCATAAAAAAAAACAGATGAACACTTTGGAAGTATGCAACCATTATTACATCAACCTGCTTGATTTAAGAAAAAAAAGTAAATGTCTACGCCAGAGTATGTTCAGAGTTAAACAAATGTTCTGGTGTATGATGTGATTATTATTTATTTGTTTACTTTATTGATTTGACGAGCACTGAGTTTAGTGATGCTAATATTTGTGGGTATTCGGAAGGTTCAGTATTAGATGTGGAATTGTAGAGAAATGACAAATACAGTCAACATAATGCACCATCTGACACATCTGAAAAATTAATATATCACCTTTTTAGTAAATTCTCATTTAATATGATTTATTTATTAAATATTTGAATATAAAGTAGGATGGTATTTGAAAGAATATATTTGACTAAACGACTTAATTCCGATTATGTCTCGATTCGATCAAGATTTATTTCATACAGATAAAATAAGACCAAGAATTGTTTGAGTTTAGGTACCATACCTATACAACAAATTACTTATAGTTTACTGAATTCACCATTAAAAAGAGGACAACCGTGCATTTTGGGTAGGCAGCAATTTTTTGAGGGATTTCATGAAGGGGTTGGCTTTGAGTCTAAAACTGAGTTATCGGGATTGGGGCTGCTGCCATTTGGCCGCCATTATTAAAAGACGGATGCAATTTGTTTTTTATACATATATATATATATACAGTATGTCCCCGGATTGAGTCCACAAGAGGAAAGAAAAAACTGTATTTTCTATTTTACAAAAAAATGACATCGGAATAAGATTTTTTGCTTAATTCAAAACGAATAAATCTGCAATTAACACTTCAATATTCCTGGTCTGTATTCTTAAAATTAATTTTTTCATATTTCTAAGTTCTCGTAACTTTTAGTTTTTTTCGATTTTAAGGACACAGCTTGATAATATTAAAATTTTAATTGCAGATTTATTCGTTTTGAATTAAGCAAAAAATGTTATTCCTATGTCATTTTTTTGTTAAATAGAAAGTATAGTTTTTTTTCCTTCTGTGAACTCAATCCGGGGACATACTGTATATTATATCTCCGTAACGGATATTCTGACAAAAAAATTTTGAAAAGAATTTTTTTTAGATTCTACCATTATCTACAACCTTTATTAATACATTTTCGGCGTAACGTTAATATTAAAAAAGTTACGAACAAAAAGATATAAAAAGCTTGTACAGTGGGAAAAAAAATAATTGGAGAAGATTTCATCAAACTTTTTCATCCTTGAGTTTTTCATATTTTACCGCTCATACCTTTTTACTGTTGATGTTACGCCAAAAGTTATGAATACAATTTATAAATAATTATATTACCTACAAAAATTCCCTTTGGAAATTTTTTGTTAGACTCATGGTTACGGAGATAAATTAAGAAAACCAACTGCACTCTTCTTTTTAGAATGGTGGCCGAATGACAGCACCCCCAGTCCCGAAAACTTTGTTTTATGTTCACGGCCTACCACTCTAGGACACCTGCAAATACAATACTTCCTTTGCTTACGCTGGGGAAGTAAAAATCGCTGCCGACGCAAAATATACGGTTGTTCTTTTTTTAACGCCGCATTTACTAGACAACGTGTACGTTACTGAGTTTAAAAATAAACTCAAGTACCATAGTAATATGACTAATTTTGAAAAACGCAGAATTAAAAAATACTTGTTGGTTATGCTTATCAACAATGATAATACCATACTTTAGTTACACGTCGTCACTTTTTAGGGTCTTAAAGCCATTATCTAACAATGGGAATGTCTGGATACGGGTTAAATTTTGTTTAAAAATGCTACCTTAGCAACAACCGTTCATCTAACTTCTATGAAGGCCTAAACTCACCATTTTTTTTCTTTCCCTGTAATTCAAAAACACCCTGCATTAAAAAAATATTGCACCCTTCTTTTCAAGATGGTGACCGGATAACAGCATCCCCAGATAGTCAGTTACATGTTTTTTTTTTTCTAATTTTGACATGAAAAACTAACATTTTGAAATGGTTTTCTTTTCGCACTTTATGAAGTATTTTAGAGAGTAGTTACGAAATACTAACACAGAAATTAACCTTGGCAAGCTAGATCATACCTCTCTTTGGATTTTTCAGGTATTAATGAAGAGACTGCTGCAGTAGCTGCTTGCTCCATATCCGAAGGATTTTCAGAATCGGATTTGTTTGTGCTGTACTTTTTCTTTATTTGTCTTAAGAAAAAATTATATTATACAGTGACAAAAAGTGCTTATCTGGTTTTTGTGATTTCAAATCATTAATGTTAATTTTACTGCATCTTATGAGTTATGACTTCCTCTAATACTGATTGAACAGCAATGTCGATAGTGTGAGTCTGTTATATAATTTGATAAAATACTATCGACATGCAAGATTTTAAGATTTTATAAAATTGAAGTTAATCTGTTAATAAAAAAAAATAGAAAAAAAAGTTGTTCCTAAACGAGTTACGAAAGCCTCTCTTGCTTGGGTAACTCGTACATTTACAATACTCGCTTCGCTCGTTTCGTAACATTTACACTCATTGTATAAAATGAGGGTTTTCATAACTGGTTATGTAAATAGCTATTCATTATTTGAATTAAATCCATATTTATTTTTGCATTTGCATTTTATAAATTAGTCCTGAAAATATTTCAAATATGTAATTACTACAGACTTTATAGTGATCTCATATAGTATAAATTCCAATATTTTTGTTCCTTACTCGATTTTTTGTTACATTAAAAAAATATGTAGATTGATTGTTGTCGTTTGGCTTTATGATCATGGTATTACGTGTCTGAACATGCACTCATTTTCTACCGTGTTTGTTAATATTATTTTATTTTTTAAAACTAACTTGATTATGGTAGAGAATATATTTTAGTTAAAACTTTAAATTTAAATTGTAGATATTTTAATTTCGTGATTCTTCATAATTAAAACGAAATAACTGTAAAAAGCGTGGCATAAGTATAACATCTGTTCACAACACCTTCTAATTACCTATACAAATTTTAAAGGTTTACTGTATTGTGATATTATTGTTTAAGATTTCCGTTTTAACAGTTTTTGGTATGAATAAAGTACTTTAAAAAAGTTGTAATATTCTGATTTTACAGGTCCCTTTTAAAGCTCCACGTCTAGTCGACCATGCTGTTCCTTTCACGTTCGACCAGCATGTGATCTCTCCTGGACCCAGTAAAAAGAGAACCTTCCCCGAAGATTATATCCCCGACTCCACTTTTCCGACCTCATCTAAACAAGTTAAACTTGTACCAAATGATTTCATAGAAAACATTTTCTCCAAAAGTGACCAAATAACACTCCCGCCTTCCTGGTCAAAAATTTTTCCCTCAGGTTGTGATGATAGCGTATTTGCCAATTTCTCGCTGGGAGAATTGAATAACATTGTTCTTGAAAAGGAGATACGAGTTAGTCATGATGGGAAAATTAGCTATCGTTGCTACGGAAAAGTAGTTAATGTGGGACTGATGGAAAGGTTTACCAGTTTAGATACCTTTGAACAGGCAATTTCTCAGTTTGACTTGCTGAAAATTTGTAAAGGGTTAAAGGTTTCGGTAAACCATCCTAATATTATCAAGGACAACACAGAAGTATATCGACATAAATTATGTCCCATAATTATTTTAAATAAGTCCTTAAGTGTGTGTCACTTTTGTGTTGAGTTCACCCGCAGAATGAAGAAAATTCAGAAGACGGCTGTTCCGACTAGTAAGACAAAAATGTGTAGATTACATCGTCGGGTTAGGCAACAAAGACTGCGCATTAAAAAGAAACAAGAGTGTTTGGATAAAATAATTGAGTCTTACAAAAGTAAAGCACAAAAACCTTTCTTGTCAAGCTGCATTGAAAATTTAGAGTTGTCTACTGAGGAGAAAACAACTTTAACAGAAATTGTTAAGGCCGCGCAGACAAAAAGTAGAAAAGGTCGACGTTACTCTGAGCATTGGTTATTGCTGTGTTTACTGTTCCACATTCGATCTCCTGCCGGGTATAAATTTTTGAGGAATGCAAATATTCTTCCCTTACCAGCACCGAAAACTTGTCGAAATTATTTAAGACTTGTGGACACCAAGTGTGGTTTCGACAAAAATGTTTTCACTTTGTTCAAAACGAAAATTATGAAGAAAAAGCCTTTCCAAAGACACGGTGTTTTGTTGCTGGATGAAATTCAGGTACGCGAGAGTTTGGGCGTAAACTCCAAAAATTTAACGTATGTGGGGCTTACTGATTTTGGAGATGATGTACCTCTAAAGAAAGGTAAATGTGTCGCAGATAAAGCGACACACGGTCTTGTGTTTATGTTCCATGCCTTAAGCGACCAGTACACACAACCGATTGGAGTATTTGCTTCTAAAGGACCAGTAGACGGTATGTATGAAAACATTATTATATAAAATAAAAGAGTATGTTGAATTTCTATCAAGATTCTAACGAAGATAAAAGTTTTCAAGTTTTCCTTGTTCCTTTTTTCATTTATTTAAATGGATTAAACTCATTATGACATTTTGAGCGCATTCATAACTTTTCTGTAGAAAAAAAAAAGTATAGTTGTTTTATTTCACTGACAAAAAGGACCTAATTTTATGATTTAGGCCCTATCAATAGAACTGTTTTTCAACATTTATTCAAAAATGCAGTAAGATCAAAATAAAATAATAATTAATAATAATAATAAATTACAAGTATTTTGTATAATTGTCCTACCGATTTTATTAATGTGTCCCAGTAAAGCATTTTATAAATTTTTGTCACAATTAGGTACTAAAAGGAAACAAATATATTTAAATAAACTTTCACTCATCTTAAGATGACAAAATACTAGTGCAATATTGTAAGACTAAGTGCATGGCCCAGTAAGAAAAAGAATAAAAGGTAGAAAGTTGTACTGGTCTATAAAATGAAACTTTTTCTAATCATCAGAAATGAAAGTACACGTTCCTAATCTATTTTTTTTCTACTCGAGTACAAATCTGGTTTTAGATTTTTCTAACACCTGTAGTTTTTTCAAAATATTTATAATGAGAAAACCATAAAAGAAGGTATTTAGGCGAGTCAAATCATTAGCATCTTCAAAGGGAGATAAAATTCAATTAGTCAGTCATCATCAGCCAATCATAAATTAAACGGTACTTTCATTAAGTCTTCGACATAATTACATTTTTGTCAAAAATGTACCGATTTGAATATTTCTAAGTCACGAACGCGTATTACTAGTCATGTCGATTATTATCTGACGTGCTAGAAGAAACTAAATGAAGATTTAGGATCAACATGTCCAATTTATAAAGTCCACCTATTCTTTTGCTGGATGATTTTTGATCGTAGACCAGTATTATTAAGTTAAATTATATTCTTACTGTCGGAATTATTATTATTTATTTTAAGGTACAACTATTGCCGAGCTTATCGTGAAGGCAATCGTACTATTGGAAAATGCTGGTGCTAATGTTCATGGCGTTGTATCCGACGGCGCACAAACTAATCGCAAAGCTTGGACTATTTTGGGGATTGATGGAGGAAAAGGTTCCACAAAAAACTAGTTCGAACATCCACTGACAGCTAAAAGAAGAATATTTATGTTCTCTGATACTCCTCATCTGGTGAAAAATATACGAAATAGATTATTTAACAAGGGTTCTCTTCGTGTAAGTTCTTTATTATTTATTTATTATTATTACTACACAGAACAACAAAGATGTTACCTCACTTTATCAAAAATTTGAGTTTTGTAAACGTCACCTTATTTAAAGCTTTGGTTTGATTTGTAACGATAATGGCAATAAGTTCTCTTTGCAGATATCTCCCACGGAAAATATTATACAATGGAACCACTTTAGAGTAATCCACAATGAAGATTTAAAGCTACCTGCAAATCTACGAGTGTGCCCAAAAATCACTAGTGGTCATATTAATTTAACCAACATGTCTAAAATGAGAGTCAAATTGGCAACTCAGGTACTCATAAAAATAAGTTTCGATTATACTTTACATAGGGATATGATAAAGGGAAAAATTCCTATCCTGCCAATGCTTTAACCTAACAAGGGAACAAACTTGTATTATCTTTTAGAGGACACTACCGACCGTACCGGTATTGTTACTTCAACAGAAATATTTTTACAAGTTTTTAACTGTCTTTCGCTAAATGATTTAAGCAATGCAGTATAAATGATCATTCAGTAAATCAGTCAGTTTCATTGAATTCTAACTAAAAACGCGGTATCTATAACTATAAGTCGCATTTTTTGGATAGTCTTGTTTAATTTCACAGCGGTTCTTTCAGAAGTACGCATTTTCTCAATATTTTCATACACAGTGCCTAGTTAATGGCGTTTTCATGCAGTTAAGAGTACTTTTTTATATAAATTTGGTAACCTTAGATGCAGTTCTATTTTGAGTTTATTTTAACTACGTAAACTACCTAATTAATAATTTTGTTAGATTTTCAGTAAGTCAGCGGCAGATGGATTAAAATTCTATTCATCTCGGGGAACACCTGGTTTAGAATCCTGCGATGGCACAATTGCCTTGTGCGAACGCATTAATTGCATGTTTGATGCCTTAAATAGGAAAATTCCTATTCAGGGAGTGAAACCAGGTTCCTCCGACTTCATAGTATTAGAAGATTCCATTGAATGGTTAGATACTTGGGAAAGTAATTTAAAGGATGGCCTAATTGAAGAAAACCAGTTTCTCACTAAGAACACTACAGAAGGATTGAGAGTTACTTTGCATTCAGCTCGAGATCTTTGCCTGTATCTAACCCAGGAGTACTCCTTTGCTTACCTACTGACGGGAAAAGTAAATCAAGATCCTTTGGAGGTAACGTAATGTAAATGTTTTACAACGTTGTCAATTAATATGTCATTTATCCTTTCAGAAATTTTTTGGCACCATAAGAATAGCAGGAGGTCAAAACGACCATCCGGCCACGCCTACTTTTTTGCAGTTGTACAAACTTTTATCTGTTTATGCAGTACTTAAGCCTCCAAAGTATGGCAACTGCACGGTAACTACTGCAGATAATGCTCCGCGTACACTTCTCTCGTTAGAAGATGTCAAAATGGCTTATGCGGACAAAATCGCGCCACCTACAGCTATGGAACATCTAAAAGAACGCCTGAATGGTCTCGTTCAATATACCGATCATGAAGTTGATGAAGTTCTGCAACACGATACTTCATTTGCAGACGTAAAAGAGTGCGTGGTTTATTATATCACTGGATATCTCTGCAAACAAATTCAAAAACATACAAAATGTCCAGTTTGTTTGCAGAGTATCCGAACAGAACAACAATACTCAGGAGAAACGGTAGCACAGCTAACTAATTTAAAAACTTATGGAGGATTAATTCATCCTAATATAATTTTTTTTTATTTAATTAATACAATAGAAACAGTATTTGCTAATTTCGTAAATGAAGCAGATGTATTTGAAAAGACGTTGGACTATTTAATTGACACTTACGACTTTCATTTTGCTTGTGCAGAACATAAAGAAGAAATTTTTATTTATGTTATACAATATTATTTAAATATGAGAATGAAACAATTTTCAAGAGACCATAATAAGGAAAATAAAAAAGAAAGTGCAGAAAGAAGAAAGAAATCTAAATTTGCTAAACATTAATGTGCTTGAATAGTATTTAACATTCATTACTGATAAAAACCCGTTACCTTGCGTGTATTGTTCAATATTTTATTTATTTCTCACTTGTAAATAACTATTATAAAC